GACAAACTGAAGTTGTGTTCAACTTCAGTTGGCATGCTAGAATAACAAGACCAGAAATGCTGCTGCATTGATCTAGGTGTGAAGACAGATTAAAATCAGTCTTCAAGTGGGAGATTGTTAAAGTATTGTTAAGTTCAAGTTGGTAAATATTTTTTTTGAAAATGGTTTTCAAAGTTTGGTAAATGTTTCTTTGAAAAATAATTTTTCAAAGTTTGGTAGATGTTTGTTGAAAAATGATAATGGGATAATCACAATTAATCCCTAGACTTTAGGGTATTTACAAGATTAAGTCCTTAAGCTTCAACTATAAATACCCTAGCTCATTTAGCTTCAAAACCATCCCAAAATCATTTTCTTTCTCTCAATACTAGAGAGCTTTCTTGTGAGTAGTGAGTGTTTTGTAAACACCTGTAAATTTTCTATCTTAGTAAAAGATCTGTAGCAGTCCGGAGACGTAAGCAGAATTGGCTGAACTCCGTTATCAATTTCGGGTATTTTTTTTCCGCTTTTATTTCGCGTTCTCACTAATAGTTATAGGAAAATTACTCGTTACTGGTTTATTTCCCAACAACGACTACATTTCGAATTCATGTAATTTAATCGTCAGTGCATTAAATATGAACTTTTAGTATAGTGTGGTTTATACGCGAATATGACAGGAAAAAAGGGAGAGTACCGGATTTTGTGTTCCTAGCACATGTGGTGGACATAACGGCGGCAATGCGTGTCCCGTTTGCGTTACGATCGTTCGCATCGACGCCGTTTCGATTAGGTTGTTTCTGTTTCTGTTTTGGCCACTTACGTTTGTGATAATGCTTATAATGTGGCTTGGTCTAAGACCTTCCTCGTAGTTTCTACAATCTTAGAGGCAGCTTGCACCAGACATGGGCGGTTCCTAGGTTCGGTTTTCAGGTTAATATAGTTACTAACTTCATTTACTTTTGATACAATAATTAAATTATCCAGATATCTAATTCATTAATAAATCAAAGTATGTTATGTGATTGAGCACAATATATTGATTTCCTCATTTAAATTGGTCAAATTAATTACTGATTAATTAATCATATAAATTTTCCAGTATTTTCTTACCATTTGCAACGAGGGGCATCAACAAGCACAAGAGGAGGCCATTCTAAGGGCAGATAGGATGGGGATCAAGGTCATTAGCCTTGTTGCATTGAATAAGGTCTGTTACTATTTTTTTCTTCTTTTTCCATTTAATTTCTAGCTTATTGCTGTCTTCCAGTTTTAACAAGCTGAATATTTAATATATATATATATATATATATATATATATAATATATATATATATAATATAAATGTATTTATACGCACAATGCACAAATATCAAATATATATATTGATGCACATTGTATCGTATTTGTTATGCTATTTAGTTGTTAAACATGTCGTATTAAATTTTTGTGTTTATGTTGTTTTCAACAAACTTATGAATTTAAAGAATTTTAAATGGAAAAAACACAAGCCACTATACGAAAATCATGCACGCAGAAGCAGGTGAAATATAATGATAGCGATAAATATATAACTTGGTGCACAGAATGAGGCTCTGAATGGAGGAGGAACACTGTCTGTGGACAAGCATCCAGACTTAAAGTAAGAGTGTCCTTGGCAATACCTTGACAGCTGCAGTAATTCTTAATGAATTTCGTAAGGATGTTAAAGAAGTGTTTTCTAACGGGAGCCACTTCCAAGCTCGGTAGAGCAACTGCTCTCTACCTCTGTCGAAGAAGAGTCCGCGTTCTTGTAAGTCTACGATCGAAGGGCTCCATATAAACCCATAACTTATTTTTTAATTCAATTAGTTCATACAATCATTAAGATATTATCGATTCTTAACTTTTGCAATTCTCTCTGACTAACGCCTTTTGTACTAAAAAAATATCTAGATATGTTTACATTGTTGGATACAATAGTAATTCTAGGTACATTGTTCAATTTGTTGAGTACTTATCAGTGCCTTAAATTGAGATAGTCTACCTTCACCTAACTTATCAGTGCTTATGGCTTAACATATACAATGTGCAGATGTTGACGCCATCAACCGAAAGATTTCAGAAAATACAAAGGAGGCCCCTTCGGATTGCCGACAATACCTAGTGGTGACCAAGTACCAAACTGCTCAAAATTGTAAGGTTGAGAATGCATGCATGCATGCGTGAGTGTATATATATATATATATAATAAGTAACGAATGGTGATTGAAATTTGTTGTACTGAAATAATATAAACAGACTTGGATGTGGGCAAGTGGATAACACCATGGAACAAAGCTGGGCTCCATCGGGGACCCATTTTCATCAATTTGTGGTCCCGCGATTTTGGCCTTCAGAAGAGACTGCACCTACGGTGACCTGGCTGCCATGATTGCACTTGATGTTCAAGGCCTCGGATCTTGTGAGGTACGTATGCTTGCAACAATGCCATTGGTGTTGGATTTCTTTATTTTTATGTTTGTTTGTGATTTATGTTTTTGGTAATTCATTGGCAGTATACAATGAGAGAGGAGTGGTGCACGCGTGCCATGCAGGAGGCGTAGTTCATCAGCTAGAAGGCTGGACTGACCACGAAGTTGGGGCAATCGACGTCGATAGGATCGACCTTGTCTAGGAAGCTGCTCTCAAGCATGGTTTAAGGCCAGTCTCAAGTGTAAACAACGATTGAAAGATTTGTATGATTAACACAAGGTTTGAAAATAGAAGAAGATGAAGTATTTGAAGAAAAAATATGGAGTAGCCGAGTAGATCATAAACTTGTGCCAGTGTATGTAATATTGTTTGTTTCTTTTAATTTATTATAAATAATTTTTATTTTTAATTCAATAAATTATTCTTTATTAAATATAAATTAAATGGTAAATGAGTTGGAGGATAAAAAAAAAAAGGGAAAAAAGTGCAAGACTTAGTTGCCACCACGTGTTAGAAACAAATGATTCGAAGGACACGTTGCATTATTCAGAAACGCAACGGTGTCCAACACTAACCGCCATTGCGTTCACCGGTTTCAACTTCAACTACAAGGAAACCAAAAAACAAAGCCGTGCTTCTTGAAAAACACTTGCTCTGTTCCTTGCATCTGCAAAAAAAGAAAATGGAGAAATCAAAAAGACTGCCATTAGGAGTTCAAAAGAAGACCATCCACAAAGCAAATTACCAAGAAGAAACTATTCAGCAATGTTTTAAACTACTTGAAGTCTGACTGTTTACATGTTTGCTCCTCTCCTTTCTCCTTCACTCTCTGGTACTACCCTTTCTGAACTTTACTTTCTTTTTCAATTTCTTTTCTTTTTTCCATAATGGCTTCTTTTGGTTTTCAGGACTGAAATCGAAAGAACCCATTAAAGAAAACAATAAGATGAGGGTGTTAAAGATGGTGGCAAGTATATGAAATCCGACACGTACATGTATTCTCCATTGCTTTCTTCTCAGCCACGGCGGCTTCCCCTTCCTCAGGTACTTGGGATATTATGTTTTCCGGAGGCTAATTAATCACTTCACTTGGGATATTTATGTTTTCCGCCTTCATTTTATTCAGAACAAATTCAGTGCAGTAGGGAAGTCACCGTGGAAGTCGCGACGAGAATGTTAACTGCCGAGTCGGCTAACGCCACGGCAGAGAAGCAGCCATGCGAAGACGCACCTCCTGGATTGAGCATTGCCGACAATCAAACGGTGAAGCACATGGTTTACCACCAACGCCGACGTTGCCTCGACACCTGTGTCTGCAGGTGGCATTCTTAAACCACTTCAAATGCTTCATTGCTTGCTTTTCTCATTCATTATCCTAATAATGATAGGATGTTTTGCAGGGAAGGCAATGGCGGGTATGAAGCTGGGGAAGCTTGTTGTCGAGTAAAATCTATACCGGTAGATAATTGTAAAATATTAGGTAACAAGATGAGTTCATGTAATATGACATCTGTGTAGGATTTGGGTCGAGTTCCACATGGTGTTTACAACTTCACATATATGTTGAAGTTTGGAAATGGAAGATCCATTGGCCTGTTCATCTAATTTGGTATGTTGAAAGTTTTCTATAAGGAGGGATCAAATTTATTAACGAACCCAAATGAAACACACGAGATAAACTAGCCACAATAACGTACATGATTATAGGTACATGGCGACTAGGAACATGTAGTCTTGTCGGAGCGAACTAAATTTTTTTTATGAGAACATAATATTTTAAGAATATTTTAAGAGAAACAGAAGAAAATACGGCACTTCTCTGCCAGGGGAACATCCAGCAAAACACAGATAAATAGAAAACATGTAAATAAGAAAAAAAAATAAAACTAATAAATCACAAGAGATTTTATATTTTTTTATAATTGATTTTTGGGTATGTAATAGATCTTGATCGAAAGAGTTCTAATAGAAAATATAATTTTTTTTAAATTTATATATTGAATTTTGGAATTTTGATCGTCAGAAGAATAATATAAATATAAATATTGAAGAAATCTAAATAAATTGAGATATTTGCAATTTTGATAGCACAATTATCGAACAAGAAAAACAAGTTTAGTAAACAATATAACGTTTAGTGGTAAAATGTATTTAGAATTTGTAATTCAAGTAGCTCAAAAGAAATAGTATTTAATTTAAGCATGTGTTTGTCATTTTTTTTAAAAAAAAGGTGTCTGACGTGATAGCCTATAAATTCATTCATTAGATACTTTTGATGAAATTATAGAATTTTCTTCAAGTGAAAATAAAATCAAGATTTAATTACTTACTATTATAAAAAAATTAAGAGCATTTTGGTCAAAGCTAGCCTTTCGTTAAGACTTACGATTGAAGAAAATGGGATTCATAGAGCGGACAATTTAAAATATAAATCGAAGATATTTTATATTTAAAAAAAGGAAGGATCAAATTAGTTCAAGGAAAGATGGAGGATCTATTTGAGTGAGAAATTTATTTTTATTTATTATTTGATTAATTTAATAGAAGAAAATTATATATATATATATATAGTCTGGGACAGCTCTTTGTCAGAAATCCGTGGTTGAGAAGCAAAAAATAAAATAAAAAAACAGAGGGAAAAGAAAGAACAAGAAGAAGGAGAAAGAAAAGGAGGAGACACGAACGCTAAGGAAACCAAAAGTAAAAGTAAAAGAAGAGGTAAAGATTCGATCTATCATCTTCTCATATTCCAATTCCTATGTTATTGCTCATATTCCAATTCCTATGTTATTGCGTTGGCAATTTTTTTTCCTCAAACGCGCTTCCATTTCTCCATTTTGTTGAGTTAGAGCTTCTTTTGATATTTGGGTAGATTCAGATTTGCGAATTGTTCTAACAAATCCAGCTTATGATATTTCCTCTCTGCGTGTATTTGAAATTTGAATGTTTTAAGACCTATAACACACTTTTTATAATATTTATTATAGTTATTTCCCAAGTTTCGATTCGCTGTGATTTATTTTGTGCAAAAGTAGAAAAATATGTGCGATGATTTTTCTGAGGTCTATAGTTTTTCGTCCGAAGTTAGATCAAAAGGTCCGGAAATTGTAGGCATATGAAATTTGTATTTTCTGAAAAGCTTCTCGTATTTTTGTTTCGCAGGTTTGTGTCTCCTCGAATTGAGCTTTTGAAATGGATACGAGAGTAACAATTGGATTTGGGATTGGTTGTATAGCTTAACGCATCTGTTTGGCGGCCTAATGGTAACAGCTGCCTTGCTTGGGTTTTCCGTCTTATTTGGTGGGATTGGAGTTTTCCCATCTTATGGCTTGTCAAATTTTGGGATCTTCCTTAAGAAGAACGTGAGAGGAAGCACATACGGGTTACATGGATGGATGCTTTGATCTCATGCATTATGGCCATGCTAATGCTTTGAGGCAAGCTAAAGCTTTAGGGATGAATTAGTGGTGGGTGTTGTGAGTGACGAGGAGATTGTTGCTATAAAGGCCCTCCTGTTCTATCCATGGAAGAGAGTATTCATGAGGCACTTCCTTTTATTTTATTTTATTTTTGGGGTGTCTGTGGGGTTTTAGTTTGGTACTTTGATCTCACAATCTCTATTTCATTTGTGTCTTGTTCTATTTTCCTTTTTATGTATGTAAATAGTCCCATTTCAATCATCATCAACTATGTTTAAGTTGTAATCACATAGAAAGCATTCTTAATATCTTGGTTTGTATTTGTTACCTTTGATGGTTTTTTTGTTGTACTGGCTCCTCTCTTTTAATTGATTTAGTTTATGGTTCCACAAATCTTATTTGAAGTTCACTCCAGGCTGGCACTTGTCAGTGGATTGAAGTGGGTGGATCAAGTAATAGCAAATGCTCCCTATGCAATTACTGAGAAGTTCATGAACACTCTGTTCAATGAGCATAAGATTGACTACATAATACATGGTGATGATCCTTGCCTTCTCCCAGATGGAACTGATGCTTATCCTTGGCAAAGAAGCTGGCCACTACACATTAAGCGCACTGAAGGTGTCTCCAGCACGGATTGTAGGTACTGGAATTTCCTTGAGACAAGCTTAATTCCTTGGTTGGGGCTTGTCATTTACTAGCTTCTGTAAATTGTGTGCTAAGTGTAACATTGTGTTCTAATTATTTCACAACTTATATGTATGTAGGAAGAATACTTTCTTCTATGAAGGATAATAAAAGCTCTGAGGGAGATTCAGGCAAAAGACAACAATCACAAAGGGGTCAGCTTTCTCAGTTTCTACCAACATCCCGGCGGATTGTGCAATTCTCAAATGGAAAGGTACTAATACTATTTTTTTTTCCACTTAGTTACCAGCTTCAAAGGGCAAGGAATGAAAAAATGACTGCCTCTTGGAAAGCTTGGTGATGTATGTTTCTGACACATGCCTCCCCCCCACTCTCACTCTCTCTCTCTCTCTCTCTTAGTCACCGGGCACTAGGTGGAACTAAAGGTAATTTAATTCTATATCGCTTTAAAATGGAAAAATTGAACTAATCCTATTTTCCTATATGTCTAGTCTTTCACGGAAAGTAATTTCCTTCCTAATAAGAAAAGGAATGCCTTGTGAAAAAAATATCATTTGGACGTCTTTTGTAGATTGAGAGGAGGAGAAACTAAGCCATGGAATAAAGGGAAGAAAGTGTGAAATCTTTAAAGATCTTTCAACAAAAAGTGTTAGTGGCTTGGTGCCAAAACCCCCCCTATTTGCTTGGAGCCCCATAACAAAAGTTATACTAGTCTCTCACCAAGTTTGCTTGGTAAAGGCGTACAAAGTCCTATGTTTTTTCTATGGAAGATTTTATGACATCTTTCTTTGAATTAGGCCGACAAAATTCATCATTTACCATAGCATTTGTCTTGACGTGACCAAATTGACCTCCTGCCCCTGTGACACATGATCCCCTCACCATCTATTTCATTAAAGATGTGTTGAATAAATACAAGCAAGTTTCTATGGAGGGGTAACCATCATGACTATAAAATCCAAATAACTTGCATGCTGGATGGTTAATAGATTATCATACGTGCATATATATGTATATATGTATATATGTGTGCATGCATGAAAGATCATTTTTGGAGAGCTGGTCTAAAACAATTTGTTGGCGAACTTGAAAGTTTGAGCGTGGATCGACAGGCAACAACCTGTTGCATCCGGTGACATGCAAACATTTTTGTGCAAGTGCTGAGAGCTATTTCTTATTATCCGAGTTGAGGAAGAGTGACAAGGGTACGAGTGGCGGTGGTCCTGGTGGAGCAGAGTCTACTTCTTTTGCTTCTTTCTCCCTTTATGCCTTTTTTCTCCCTTAATGGTAGATTTTGTGTGTAATGCCTGGGTATCTGTCCCTGTCAATCTCATTCAGTTTTTCCTCAGGGTCCTGGACCTAATGCTCGTATTGTCTACATTGATGGGGCATTCGATCTCTTTCATGCAGGGCATGTGGAGGTATTATTCACTTGTTTATACTTACTCCTCGACTTATTTTCTTGTTGGTTATGTTGATTGCTTGTTACTCTAGTGTTGCTGTAAGATTGACCAATGCTCTTCTTCTTACCAAGTTTTGTTACTCTAGTATTAGAAAGCAATAATACCCCATATTATCACATATGCCCATTTTCTTTGTTGAAGTTCATTGGTCTATCTTTTCTCTTAGTCCTAATCATATTATTTTAGAGGTTTTACTATAATTTGAGACCTAAATGGCCCTTGTTTTTTCTAGTAAGAGGAACTTTTCAACTCATTCCATTTGCCCTCGTCCCTAAGCCATCTTTTATGTCTACTCAGATCCTCAAGAAGGCAAGGCAGCTTGGAGACTTTTTGCTAGTTGGTATCCATGCTGACCATATTGTGAGGTACCGTATCCATGTCATTTTTTTATTGTCTACTTATTACCATTTAAATATTGTCAGGACAATTGAGTTAGGAAGGATGAAACCAACATTGGCTCTACTATTGCAGCGAGCAAAGGGGAATACCCTACCCAGTTATGCATTTACTTGAGCGCACTCTTAGTGTGTTAGCTTGTCGTTATGTCGATGAAGTAATCATTGGTGCACCTTGGGGAGTTACAAAGGACATGGTACGTAATTTTCTTCTCTTAAGTTTATATCGGTAATATTCCTATGCAAAATTGTCCCCTAGGAAACCTTGATTGATTCTACTCCTAATTATCCTGGTCCATTTTATTAATTTCTTTAGAAGAGAATGCATCTAGCCTTATAAACAAAAATTTAAAGTGTGATAATTCTTTTGATTCCAGATAAATGTGTCCTAGCTTTTAGCCAAACCACTTTATTTGCCGAAGCGTGTTCATTCATTAGATACTTGTACCATACCACTTTATGATTTGGGTTTCACCAGTATAGCAAATCACGCCCCCTTCCTGAAAAATATAAGATATATATATACGTATATATGTATGTTTGTGTATATATCTCATTGTGCATTTCTGTACTCTCTACAGCTATGCTATTGGGAACTTGTATAATTTGTTACTACTGCTTCTATATTTTCCCTCTTTTAAAATGAGAAAAGGCATTTTTAAGCTACTTCTTTATTTTGAAACAGATTACAACATTCAACATTTCATTGGTTGTGCACGGGACAATTTCAGAGAGTAACACTTGTTGCCTGTAGGTTTTCAGATTTAACCTCAGATTTTTTTTTCATTTGTTGTGACCCTTATGTCTATCGATTTAAAATACTTTGCTTCCTACAGGGTGAACCCGATCCATATGCAATTCCCAAGGGCATGGGAATTTTCCGGATGCTTGAAAGCCCTAAAAGTATAACCACAAGTTCGGTAGCCCAAAGGATAGTTGCCAATCACGAGGCTTACATGGTATTTTCTTACACTGCATGGTTTTCGGTGTTCATGTTTATTGTTAATAACTAGTAATGCAAGATGTTCACCTTGTTATTAGCCGACTCCGGATATCGTTGAACATTTCGGCATGAGATATGAATCTGAATGAGGGTGTTTGTAGACATGCATCCTAACTTTTTGCGTTATTACGCCGTGAATACATGATGTTTAACACTGAATCTCTGTTAGTATGCTTGGGTGTGTATATATATATATATTCCTCTAATTTCTGGTGCTTGCTTCGATGTAGAAACGCAACGCCAAGAAGACGCAGAGTGAAAAAAAATACTACGAAGAGAAAGCTTATGTTGCGGGAGACTAGGATATGGAGTAATATTGTTAGGTGGTAGAAAATTTGATGCAGCTCTTCAGGAAGCCTTGACTATTCGTGTAGATGCATGTTGAAGACGGTATTCAAAGATAGGAGGATAAGAAGACATGACATTGGAAGACATCATTACCATAACTTCCAAACAAACAGTTTTTTATATATTTTATTATTTATTATTACTATCATCATTATTAATTTTGCATCTTTTTTTTGGGTCTGAAATGTAGAGGAATCTTATAATAATTTGTTTACTAATGCTTGTAAGCAATGTAATCACTGATTAATTTAAGCCTTGGGACTTTGTAATTTTAGGGTGTTTTTGTTCAAAATCAAAGTAATATCTCATCAAATCAAATCTTTGAGTATTTTCTCAGGATTAATGAGGGTTTTCCTTTTACTTGTCAAGTCTACACTTTAAGTATTAAATTTTATCTAATCTCTATTTCCGATTTATATTTATTCGGTTTAAAAAAGATCAGAGACGATTTGAAAATCGTATTTTTTTCCTTCTTGAAAGAAGGTGATATTATAAGACTAGTCGTTAAAGGCATAGGAAGTGCATGTCAGTGATTATAATCATAAAAGAGGCGAAGAGATGGATACTGAGCTCAAGTGTGAGCGACATTGTTTGCGGATCAACGAAATGTTTATTTTTAGATGGGCGAAACATCACAATTATCCAATACGGGTCGAAGTCGGGTGAGGATTTTCACTTCTTGGGTTAGGGATAGTACGATTGTCCCGTTGACATTTTTATACAATACTCATTTAAATTTTCTTTAAAAAATTTCAAGCTTATTTTATAAAATTTGGGTAAAATCAAATTAAACATATTTATTTAAATTTTTGTTTAAATATTATTTTAATTATTTATAATCTTATTATGCTGATTAATTTTTATTTAAACAACTCTTTTATCATATACTATATATATATACATGGGTAAATTACAGAGTTCCTCACTAAATTTTATTATCTCTCCTATTTCACTCACTAAACTTTCAATTTTTTCAACTTACTCACTGAACTTTATAAATTAATATTTTTATCGCTCAACCGTTTTCTTCTTTAACTCTATTAAGACGTCGCATTTATTATTATTATTTTAATTAATTGATGTATTATTAATATTATTAATATTTTTTACTATCCACCACCTGTCCACTTCATCCCCATCTAAAATTTCATCCCTAACCTCAAACCTCCACAAACCTCATCAAAGTCATAGTATACCCCAATAAACCCCCCCCACCACTGCCCTATTTTAGTATTATGTAATTCAAATTTAATAAAAAATTTAATAAAAATTGAAAAGTAATAAAATAATAATATTTAAAATTCAATTTTCATTCAAAGTTTAAATATAAATATTAATTCAAAATTTTTGTCAAAAAAATATTATTTCAAATTGACTTGAATAATTTAAACGAATTCTATTTAAAAGATCAATTTTTTTTCAAATCCAATTGAATTCTGCTGACTAATAATCATATTCTGAACCAACCCGCATATTTTCAATTTATTCCACTTTTTGGCTACGAATTATACAAAGAAAAGGTTTTTCTAGCACAACTTGTGTTCGATCGAGATCCCCTGAAGTTGTATTCTGATGGAAAAAATTATTAATTGAGGAGATTGAAGCAGATTTTATTGTTTTCCTTTTTTGGGCTTCGGCATTAGTGAGAACAAATTGTACGGCGGAGCAAGAATGAATCGTGGTGAGCCAATTTCTGAAGTTTGAGGAACCAATCATGTGGTTATCCTTTTGGAGATCCAGAGATCGATTCTCCTTAGACAAACTCAGGTTTTATCTTCTCTTTTTCTCCTAATCGTTTAATTTATTCTCATTAATTTGTAATATAGGGGATTTAATTATCCTGTCTTCTTGAATAATTTAACTTATCGTGTCGGTAGAATTTGGATTTATTTTGGACAATCGCTCAGTAGTATGCTGCCCTTGGTTGTTGCTTTTGCTCCTTTCTTTTCTTAATCAAATATGCTTCTTTCTTCTTCTATTTGCTTATGCCTTTTATAGAAATTTTACAGGAAATAAAAAGCATGCGGTGAAGTTGACAACCAAACAGGGAATTAAATGTGAAAATGTCATACATTATGAATACCATAGGCAGTGATTAGCCATGTGGGAATAAAATATAGTGTTGTTTTTATTTCTTTCTGTTAGTAAGATTCAGTAGCTTTGGTGATGTTGAAATGCTGCTTGGAATTCCTTGAACAAGCATGTAATATAGTGTTGTTTTTATTTCTTCTGTTAGTAAGATTCAGATAGGTGCAGTCACTTCTTTGTACCTACTTTGTTGCATCTTGCGCATTGTGAAAATCAAAGATCTGGCAAACACCATTGCTGCAGCTTTTTTATATCCACTGGAGGTCTTTGCTGCAAATTCTGAAGCTAAAATCAATGGCTGTGTTTCTGGAAATAATTGTGCAAATGAAAATGAAGAGCCACACAGTGATAGTGTTACTCCAGTGAATGCTGGACAATTATTTGCTGATATACTAAACAAGGCTAGTTCTTCACATGTTCATCCTGAAGGCATTATTGCAGAGAGGAGTTTATCTTGTTCACATTTTTCTTTGAGGCAAAATATGTGTTCATTAATTACAGCCCATTGCTCATGCATATATGTTTTACATTTCCTGCTCTGTTTTCTATCATTTAAAACATTTATTACCAATAAATTCACAGTAAATAGTTCCAATTCATAAATAAATAAAATTCATTATTTCTTGTTGTAATTCTTTTGCATAAATCTTTCGTTATTTTGGATATGTAATTATTTTGATAAAGTATAAAATATATGCCTTTGAACTTGGCCTTTAACTTTACAGTCTTATATAATAATCATTGGCTGTCCCTTTTTCCCATATATATGGGGTAAGGGGGAGGTAAGATAGTAGGCTACCCCCAACACCAGGTTGAGAGCAGCTTCCGTAAGAGACCTCCGAATTATGAAATACCCTCCGTGGGACTCGATCCCACGACCTCAAGGTTAAGAACCTTGTGCTCTACCAACTGAGCTGGATGGTCATTTATATAATAATCATTAATTAGGGTAATTATAATTTTGGTTATTGATTTCTGTACTGGCATCATGAGTCTGAATTTGTTTGATTCCCGTCTTAACAGCGTTAGAATGGTTTCTTTTATCTTGAAATTTAAGGCTAAGTTAATTTCTGTCTTCAGTCTAATTGTAGTTATTATGCTACGTACTCTGCTTTTTTATTTCTGTTCTATTTCAATATTCACTCTGTCTTGAACTCTAATTTCCATTTTTGGGTGAAGATTTGTTCTAATAAAAGTAGAGTAAATTTAATGCAAGGATAAGAATCTTTAGTTGAAGAAATTTTGTAGCTTGTGTTGGTTGACTTATCCTATAGTTGATGAGCCTGTAAAGAGCAGTCAGATAAAGGTCAAAGTAGGTAGCAGATTTGTTATTCAGGGGGCATGCTAAGAAATATTATGAGCAATGGGACTTGATTTGCAAGCATTAAGGGTAAGAAGGAAAATAAACAAATAAAGGAAACCAGAACTCCTGTTCAATAATAACCAAATCATGGAGCTAAATATGAAACCTTTTATTATCTGATCTTGGTAATATAGATCCCAACAAATTGTTAATCATAGTATGACTTAGATGGTTTGGGTCTCTAAGTTACCTTAGATGAGAAAATCTAGAAGTATAAAAGGGTTCTTGCAAAAAATTTTGGAGTAAAATATAAATAAAGAAAATAAAAATAGTTCTGTAAATCATGACTGGGTTAATTCTCTCCAAGTTGAGAGATACCCTGTAAGGAAGCTTGATTGTTGAACTCCAAACTTGCTTACATGTAGCATAAGGCAAGTAGATAACCATTTGAAATTCAGGAAATTTACCATTTCTGTGGTACAAAATACAAAAGCAAAAAGGATCCATTATTGCAGTCTTAGCGCAATCATTTTTTCTGATTGAACTTGGTGCAGGGTGCTACTTGGAATGGTACTTTTTCCTAGACAGTTGGCAACTTATTTGTTGGATGATCTGTTTCATTATTGGCACTTGGTCAATCCTTTAAAACCCTCAGTCTGTTTTTGGTTCTGAAGAAGCATATTTGGCCATTACCTAATACTTAGTATGTGTAAAAAACATAATATCAAGGAAAAACAATTTCTCTGTTTTTAATTATTTTCCCTTTCCAAAAGCAATTAATGATCTCCATTGTAGGTTATTTTCATAACTGTGTCTGTTATATGGTATAATTTGGATTTGCATCATTATGTCAAGGGAGACTTTGCTTTCCTATGTCACTGCTGGAGATGATGCACGAGCGCTGGGTTCTTTGAATGTGTTGGCTACATTTTTGCAAACGAAGGCTAATAATGATGAGGAAGTTTGTATCACTTATTGTTTTCTATTGCTCTTTTCTTATTGAGTATTTACATTGTAGAATTGGATGAATCAATGCTAGATTTTCTTGGTATTCTTCCCCTTCGCAAACAACACAAAAAACTCTTGCTGGTAAGTTTTAATGTAAAGTCGCGATCTTCAGAGTGAATAGTCGCGATCATCAGTGACCTATAGTTCAATACTGCTCAAGGATTATCAGATGGTTCATAATGATAAGCACTATTTCAATAATCCCTAGTGGAGTCTAAACTCTAATAATGTCTCATATGCATGGACAGCAGAACGAGGTGCAAGTATTTTTGAAAAAAAAAACAGTTTGTGAAGATTAGTTTAACACCTATGAATGCATGCCTAGAGAGAAAAGCTTGGAGATATGTTTCGATTTCATGTTGTACCTAATTTCTTTAGGAAATTCATCCATTTTATCAATTTGATTGAATTGTTGAACCTTTTGTCCTAAATTTGGCCATTTGGGCAGCAAGCTTTGGTAGGTGAGGGCTCAGGTGAAGAGCATTGGTAGGTGAGGGCTCAGGTGAAGAGCAACTTTTTTCTTTTTGAAGGTGGCTCTCCAAGAGATGGTGTTTGTACGAGCTTGACGGATATTTAAAAAAGTTGAATGTATTGTTCTCTATATCTATACACACATATACCCTTAAAAGAAAGTAAAAAGTAAATTGTGCCTAGAAAAATGTAGATAAAGTGAACAATTTTCTTTCTGATTGTTAATTTATCCATTCATGCAATGAACAAGTTCTATGTTGATTTCTTTGGTTACCTTATCAGGAGTGTGGATTGATAAAAGTTATTCACTTTAGCAGCCCAAGCTAGGGTATCATAGAGAAATTGTCCTTGGTAGTTCATTTATTGTTGGTCTACTACTATATGATTTTTTTACTTGTGGTGTAGCCTTGTATGTGGTTTTA